TGATCACATAGATTTTCAGATATTAATTAAAGAAAATTTGTGCATTATGGTACACAATCTTGTAACAATTTTCTTTGATTAACATCTGAAAATCTATGTTGTCACTTGCAAAATGGTAGAGGACTTTTTTGTTCAGTTTGACTTAATGTATAAGTATATAACAGCAGGCGGCGTCATTGCAGCTCATCTGTCATATCACGCATGATCATTCATCAATCTTTTTTAATTAATATTTTGACTATTATTGCGAATATCGTAAAATAATATAGGATTTTTGTATTCAATCCGTTCTACGTCCTCGAGAGATTGTGAAGGTGATCTGGGGCACTCTGTATATGTTCCAAAAAGATATAATTGTATACGAAAGGTTAAATTTCAGTTCTTTGTCGCTCTAGCTTCCATTCGTGACGACACGACTCTTCGAAGAGCGACTCCGTCCAAAAAGACTGGGTGACGCGCGAGCACTTTGGCGTGTAAACAATTTGTTTAATGCACATCCGTGTGTGTATCACGTGGAGATTACTACGCAATGCTTGTTTCTCCTCGCACAATTACGAAAACGATGTCTGCGTTGTTGTAAACTCATGTATTCTGCAAATGGCATGTTGAGAGATGTGTAAATTACACATGTCGCATGCGTGCGCGCGCACGCACGCGCTCGGTGTTTTGTCATCTCGTGTGATAATGTATTCGTACATTCGCGAAATTGTGCGCCGCACTAATAGTTTACTTGTCTCATAATTGCTCCGTTTTTTCTTCCCCAATTATGCATTTACTTTGTACACCACAACGATATGCAAATTGGCACACGTTATAAACAGGCAGTTTCTCATTCGGAAGCGCGATGTGCAAAGAGAGAATGAAAGAAGGCCATTTTATTTTCGACATTTGCATAACAAGTTAACGCTTTCTTTACCGTTCCGACGATGAAAAACATGAGGAAACAAAATGACGAAAACCGTCGCGCGGAGAGATACTTTGCCATTCCGTCATCTGCTTTGTGTATCGTATTGAAATCGCCCTGTATCGATTGATTGCATAATCTTATGAACCACATATATAAGCGGCGAGCAGCCTCAGCTTCCCCCTCCTAATCGATTATTCTCCTTGACCGTGCGGAATTCAAAACATCTCCCAATTTTCTTTCGCGGACCGCGCTGCGCAACGACGACAGATAATCTCACATATATTCCCGGAAGCTCGTAAATTCTGAATGCATAGCAGCCAGTAATATAGATCACCCATAAAGTAGCTCTGTGATGAGTGCGGAGGAATGAAAAACACTCGACGACGAAACATCGCTGCGCCGGATTAGCTCGTCGAGGTTGCTCATCGCCTCCATGTTGTTTCAGCTACATGAATGACTGGTCGGAAATGCACAGACCAGCTCACTTAAGTTTGCGACACCACAAAATCCATCTAAAGATTTATCTCCGAAAACTCGTGCATCCCTCGCATGCAAACAGAATTGAAGAACACCTCTCCCAGCCAGGAGTATCGCAATGCGAGTTGTTTTTTTACCTTCACGAGAAAAAATCACCCTCCCGAATAAGAGCTCGGCAACTGCTGAGTGCCTCCTGCGGCTCTCGGATATTTCGCGCAACTTGTGCGCGATCCGCGATTTGCAATCCGGGAAGTATTCTCTTTCGCGCAGTTCGTAAACGGGCGGGGAAGCATATATATTAATAGAGCTGAATTTCCAGCTGAATATCGCGCGCAGTCTTAGCAGAGTGCCGGTATCTCGCGAAGGCGGGGGTTCTTATTCCATTGAAGCGAAAGTTCCACTTGGGCGCAACATACAGCGCGCATCTTGCGGTGGTGCGGTTACATACAGTGAAAGTTTAACGAGTTATAAGCTCGGCAAGAGCGTGGCACACTTGGGCGCATGCACGAGATACGTGCCGTGTTAAAGAGGACACCGGGATTTCCTGCTCGCTAAAGTTCCGGCGATAAATCGAACCGGAATGCTAATACTTCGACCGAATAGTTTGTCTCGCGTTTTGCCTTTCCACCGTCGCCTGGGTGCGATATGCTAATACCTCGGACGGCATTTCCGTCTGGATTCTTGTTTTTTATTTCTCCCCCTCACCCTCTTTCTACCCTTCGGCCACCACGTCTGCGGGCGCCGCTCTTTCGGACACCACAAGATGCTCAGAGAAAAACACACGGTGATGGTAATTGTAAAGGTGACAGTTGTATGATTCTTTTTACCCAGAATCGACGTATATAGTTTGATAAACTATATACATTGATTCTACATACAAACTTACATACATTGAGAAATAAGTGTTTGATATCTGTAACTACAAATAAACGTAGAGATAGAGAAATAATTACTATAAATTGTCAAGGAAACTCCCAAAACTTTTTTATGAAATTCTATAATGTTAATAATAATTCTATAATGTAAATAAATATTTTGTGTGCGTGTCACTGCTACTGTCACTTTCGTGGTAGATTAGAACGATCATAAAGTATGGTTGAGGCAAAAATAATTGTGATTTTAACTTTCAATCATTTTTTCCCTTAATGTATGTAACTATCACTTACAATTGCCATTACATCATGTATTTTTTTTCGAAAGCGCTTCATTGAACGGTGCCACCTTCCGTTCTCCTCTCATCTGTCCCCGAGTTTGGTGTGTCCCGTGACACTTGGCTCTAATCCATTCAATCTTCCTGAGCGACGAAATGGGCAATGTGTCGTTCGGGAGCGTAGACAGCGATTCGTCCAACGAATTAGAATGGTTTGCAATTCCTATAACATTCCTACATCGAAGTGTTTTGCATGCTCAACGCCGACAGCTCGAAACGCGATGTCAATACCGTCTGACTCTTCAACGACATAGCTACTGGCACACTTGGTGTACCAAGATACTCAAGATGTCGTGGGTCCCGTCATTTGGTCGCGACGTGCGTAGATTTTTAATCGGCTTTGTCGGACGTTTAGCGAATTCCGTACTTACTACCAATCCAGGGTCGCACCTGCCGAGGCATTAACATTGTAATCCCGAGATTTGCGAAGAGGGCCAACACGCAAGAGGTGGCGCACCGGGAGACCGAGAAAGAGAGAGAGAGAGAGAGTGTGAGCGGAGCGGGAGGGAGAGTGAGGGGGTGGCGGATAGGTGGATAGGAGGATGGGTGGCGGCAGGAGGGCACAGGACAGCGGACGAAGGGAGTGGAAATGGACGGATCCAGCTAAACGAGCAGATTCGTAATCCCTTTACTGCCGCACGACGAGAGGCTTTGATGCTGACGAGCTTAGCGCTTAGCGACTTTCGTAACCGTGTCAAGCCGGCCTAAAAGACGAGTCTCGACTGAGACGCGTCGGGCCGAGCCTTTTCCGCGTTAAAAGCCATTCGTCCGGATCTTTTCACATTACGTCTGCCTTCGAGATTATAACGCCCAAGACTGTGGCACGAGGAGATTTACCCCGCTCGGGGCGAGAGTCGCGCCTTTCCCGCCCGTCACATAATCTTGTCTCATTGCCGTAGACGCGACTTTTCAGCTGCAATAGTCGCTCTCATTTCTCAAAGGAGTCTTAACTTCGCACTCTCGTCCCCCGGCCGTTCTCTTAGTTCACCCCGTCATAAAAGAGAAAGTGAACCGACGGTACAGCTATGGTAAGGTATGGTAAGGCCTGGTAAGAGCTCTCAAAAAAGTAACGTAAAAATCAATATCTGGACACATACCTGAATATTCTTATTGTTTTGGTCTTTAAATATAAATACTTGAACTTTTAAATAGAATACGTGCATATATTCAATACATATATACATATTCTCCATGTGAAAAGTTCAAATATTCGTATTTAGAGGCAGCAAACAATAAGAAATGTGCAGAGTTGGGTGCGTGTCCAGACATTGGTACTTTCGCCTCACTACCTCGCGAAAGTTTCGCGAGCTAATCTCGCACCAGAAATACGCGCGGATCAATACGACGAATTGTTCGGAAGAGAACGTGAGGGAGAAAAATTTTAGCTGATTCGTGACCCTACTGAGAGATAAGATCGCCCGAGACACCGTAAGAGTGGTCGAGTACACGAAAATCCTCGAGATGGATCAGCCACGCTTTTCAGGAAGTATCGATAATGCGCGAGAGCGTTACTCTTCCGCGAACAATCGCCGTCGGTGAATATCGACGGACACGTCGTCGTAGATCTGGGTCGCTGATAGTGCTCGTAAAAGACGTGCGCTCGCGCAACGTACTTAAAACTTCTTTACTGCGCGCACTTTGAACTTTAATAAGGTTATTTGCACGATATCGTAACGATATTAAAAACGTTGGGAGCCGAAAGTCGGCTGCTGCTCGCCGTGTCTTGTCGCGAGCTCAATATCCGCGAGGAGGCACGGCTTTGTTTAATCTTTCATTGAAATTCCGACGTCTCGCGCGACGTTATACTGTCGTAATTAAGCATGAACTTCCGGATAGAGGAAGGCCGACGGTAATCGGAGAAGACGTCAAGTTCAACTTTCCATTCAAAAATTCATCAGCCGAAAGAGTTACCGAGGAGATACGAGCCGCCGTCCGCGAGGGACGCTTAATGAAGAGTGAAACCTTGGAGTGTCTCGTTAAAAATAGATCCACTCGCTGTATCACGCGCGCTCTTGATACTTCAGAAGCCAACGTTGCATCTCGTTGCAGGCTGTCGTAATGGCATATCAAACTACCGCGATAACGTGCTGAAATTACGTCGCTCTCAGCCGTGACGACGAGATGCGCGCATGTCTAACTACCTTGCCATCACTCGAGCGGCACAAATTCCGGAAGATATTCAGACGATATTTCGAGGGTGTCGTCTGAAAAGTCGAGCCACATTCTGGATGTCGCCCTTTCTCCTTCAGGCACGCATTTCCGCGTCTGGGTATCCGTTTAAAATAAAACACAGACGCCTATTTATTCTCTCCTTTATCGTACAAGAGCGTGCGCGCACTTGCATCTAGAGCCTCGTTTAGACGAGATGAAGACACTATACGGGTAGAGACGTCTTATATATTTCAGCTTGTCGCCCACGAGAGACGACTGTCGACCTCGGCCTCGCGAACAATGGCTGCGATGAGTTTGGGTTTCATCGTCATGGTCACGCCGTGGACGATCCAGGAAGTCGTCGCAGCCTGCACCGGAAGCAAGCCACCGCCGTTCCTCGACTTCCTAGCCACATGGCTGGCTCTTTCCAACAGCTTCTGGAATCCATTCCTCTACTGGCTGCTCAACAATCACTTCCGCCGCATTTCAAGGGAACTTCTTTACAGTAAGGTAAGCTCACGTTCCACGTGTCGGCTATCAATTGATTAATCTTCCAATGATAAAGAAACATCGAATTAAGATAAAAAAAAGATCTGAGATCATCGTTGGATGTTAATTGCGAATAATTTTCAAATGGGAGGATAATAATCTTTGACAGGAAGAGAGAGAGAGAGAGAGAGAGAGAGAGAGAGAGAGAGAGAGAGAGAGAGAGAGAGAGAGTGTGTGTGTGTGTGTGTGTGTGTCAACATACATGTCGAATAATTTTCCGGACTTGCAACGTATGGAATATGAATCCATTTCTTTATTTTTTTATCAAGCGCCGCGGTTGCGGCGCGACGCCGAATACGTATCGAACAAAACAACGCGATCGTGTAAGCTTATCTGGAATTTCTGGGTCGATTAGTCTTCCGAGTCAATTATTTCAAGCATTTTCATAATGTTAAAAATTAATTAAATAAATGCACAATTAAATTGAAATAAAGTTAATTGACTTGGAAGATAAATTCACCGCATACGTTGCAAGTCCGGAAAAAAAACATCGACACCGTCAAACACAATTATCCTCCCTTAAATAAAAAATTATTCGCATTAACATTGAGTGTTCGATTCTTATGGGCTTTATCTTCCTAATTTGGCTGTATACTTCGCTGTGATATGGTCCACTCTAAAAAATGATTGGTTCTCTTGCTTAGCTCACTTCATGTGAGCTGCGGCTTGTTCGTGTCGTTTGTGCCTGCAAAATTATCAGGCAAATAACTGTCATCGCGTTGGTTATCTCATGAAGAAAAGAATACAGAAAAAGTATAAATTATAAGAATAGAAGAATAGAGAATAGAAGGGTAGAGGAGAAAGAGGAAAAAGAAAGAGCAGACAGAAGAGAAATTAGGCAAAAATAAGGGTAAAAATAAGATAATTTTATAAGGTAATTTAAAAGGTTATTGTAATGATAAAAATACTAAATAGCGCGCGCGTCTGTAATGTTCTAGTCTAGATAAAAAAGTTCTTGGAAAAAAGAGAGAACAAGTAAGTTGCGAAACTAAACGACAAAGGAACGAAACGACTGTCGAATTTGATTCGCAAATGGGATTTTTCTATCGACGGGTTTTGAATGAAGTTCCGATCGTATCTCTCAGAGTAATTACAACGCGTTTATTACAATGCGTAAAAGAGAAACGCATTGGGCGCTTTGTGCCTCTATTTTACATCGATATATTCTTAACTCGTTTCACGATAATTGGATTTATTCAGCCTTTACGTTACTCTTTTTCCTTTGCATCGTGCTCGGCGCAAGAACTAACCCGCTCGGCTTCAGCGAATTGCGCATCGGACCATTACGGTTGTAGCTCTTTTTCACACGTGTGAACACTTCGCGTAAATCTAGTTGCGCGCGAGTTTTTAGAGCTAACGCGTATGTTTCCAAACGTCCATTAGAGGCGCGAGCGCAACATTGTAATTCTTGACTCGGTAACAATTATTTCTTCTTAACTGATGCAGAGCAAAAAATCGTGAAGCAAATCACCGGCCGCGCTGCAAGTGCTTTCCGCGTTCAGAAGTCGCACGCACACTTACTATAGATTTAACAAATCACCAGTGATATATGGCAGAATGAGGCAGGAAACGCGAAGGAAAGAGAGAGAAAATATCGTCGCAACGAAGCATGTGGAAACTTTTATATCCCGCGCTGTTCAGCTTATCATACGCGATCTTTTCACGCGTTTAGCTGATCGAGATAATACCCATTTCCATTGTCAACCGATGCAGTATACAATGGAATAATCGATTCGCACCGCGAGTGAATTAGAACGGCGACGTATATAATGGGAAAAGAAGACAGAGCGATATTTCGCGCTCGCGGAACGCGCGCAGGCAGCCGCAAATTTATGCGATTAGATAGAGCCGGGAGATATACGCTAGGCGAACGCCGCTGCTTCCTTTTATTCACCAATCTCCATCCTTTTCCCTTCTTCCCGCTTTTCTCCTTTTCCGTTACACCGTATCCTGCGTCGTTTCTTCGTTTTATTTCGCTCGGGCACCTTTTATTTCGCGAAATCAATCGTGTGGCCGACAGCGCGACAAAACCGGTAAATATCACGAAGACGATAGTCGCACGTCGGCCGCGAACGAACGAAGACGAACGACTCGGTGAGAAGCACCGAGTCGGTGGACCGCGGCAGAACGGCGAATCTACCTATCCGTGCCCATTTACCTAGCTAACCCAGCTAACGGCGCAAAACGAGATTTATCCGGCGCGAAACGCATTACGCGTCGTACGGATGCATTCCGCGACGGATCCAGCCGCGGTCGTCCCTTCCTTTCCTTACCGCCGCCGCGCCCTCCATTCGGATTCAGCTGGAACGAGGGCGAAAGGGCCATACGTCCCGTTTGCTCGCGGCCCACGGCCATAGATCTTCGCGCTTCGACTTTACAGGCCATGAATTCCGAAAAGCCCGTCGGCGTGCCGTAAATCTTTAATCGCCATGCGCGCGCGCACACTCCCCATGTTCTCTCACCCCCTCGGTGGATGTTACGCATGGCTAAAGTGCACACGCGCTTTCGATATTCCTTTAAACGTCAGCGCGACGCACCGCTCCCCTGACAACTGGCTTGCGCCGCTCGATTGATGGTCGACAAACGAGTTTGGTCCCTCGCTACGAAAAAAGCCACCATCGCCGTCGTCGTTACTACACACACGCCGATGGCACATCGCACGGAATACGGTGGGTCTGTGCTCTTGTGAAAAATAGAAATCGATCCGCGCATTATTGCGAGCGCGGCGCGCGGCTGAGCGAAAGCGCGCGCGCCGGCAATTGCGCTCTTGCTCGATCCGCAGTTCCGGAATTGTTTGCGTAAAGTAATTAATTTTCGCATGATATTCTTTCGACCTTCCACCGTTCTTAACGTTTATAATTAAACAAGAGCGACCCCATGCGCGGGACAAATCTCAGCTGGAAGGATGCGTCTATCCAATTAGTCAGAGTTACGCAAAAACGATCCAATTTCACAAAATTATGATTTTTTAGTTGTTTTTTTACCAATTTGTAGCCAATTTATAGCCAATTTGTAGTTTTTTATCATTTTGTTTTGTAAATCCTTGCTTCTTTTTACATAAAACGAAAAAGATTCAAGTCTTATGAACGCCAAAAATTTAGAAACAGTTTTTACTTTCTACTAATGTTGTGCCATTTTTTTTACTAGTTTACTAGTCTTCTTTGCCCATTTTTTTCTTAGGGTTAAGGTTAGGGTTACATATCGCTCTCTTGAACATTGAATATTGCCCATAAAACTAGATCTCGGGCAATATTCCGCAAAAAATCACGAGCGCCATGAAGTTTCTTATGCCATCTCCGGAATCGTACGAGCAACGAAATGCGACCTCGCATTTGATGGAATCTGATTTTCACGGGAAAGCGCAGAAATAAACCGACAAAGAATGAAAAAGCATGCCATCAAAAGATAAAAGATCATCGTGAAAGTAATATTGTTGCGATGAGGATGTTGCGGTCGGTGATGAATCGTGCGAGGCGCGGTAGACGACATATCTGCGAGAGAAAAAGTTCGCGGAGCCGCGCGTACGATACATTATTTTAACTCGCGACACGACGCGATACCGCCTGTAATACTCGTCTCGGCCAGATACGCGAGTGACATTCGGCGAACTGTATTCCTCATTGACCGCAATTCCGTTCCATTTCCAGACATTCCGTTTCGGAGCCGTGTCTTGCCGCACAAAGTTAACGGGAACGCAGCTCTGTGCGCGGCCACGAGTTTACAATTAGAATCTGCTACTTTGCATCGACAGACCAGGCCATACATTCGCACTCGCGTCATCCGACGCATTCGATCGCGGCCGCGAGATAATGTCGCGATTATTTATTACTGTTTTTCCGCGACGAAGGGGAGGGGTATCTCGGCATTATATGGCGCGGCCCCAATCAATAAAGCTCTCGCAAAATCTACCATTATTTTCAGCGGCTGATTTATCGCTCATAAGACTGACAGGTATTCTCCTTCTTCCTCTTCTCTCTCTTTCTCTCCCTCTCTCTCTTTCTCTATCTCTAACGGTGCGGCGTATTATGCTTGTCACGATCGATGAATACGGCCGATCTTAATTCCCCTTTTACATACAGATTCTGTGCAGATCTAAGCCGCTAGGAGGGAAGCAACACTGCTGCGCGACCAGCACCGGCGGTCTAGACGTCTGCAGCATCGCCGGCGTCGATCTATCAGGTATGTCAGGCGAAACACTCGACCGAGAAAATTTCCCGAATATCACGCGTCAGGGAATTAATGTATTCCAACACTGTGTCGATTCTTCACGGTCCTCCGGCTCGCCTGTCTACCGCGTCATTTACGACGGGCCTGACTCGATCTCTCCTATTGATTTTACGCCGACAGCGCCGACGGAATTAATACAATCAATGTTTTGCGCTAATTAAACCGTGGGAAATCCGCCTTTTGACGGCCTCCATTATCAGCATTAAACGTGTCCTCACTCAACACCTCTGTCTCTCTCCCTCTTTGTGCGTGCCGTTCATAAATGATCGATTTAAAGTGATCGCTGGTAATAATCAACGTCAGCGATGCAGATACGCGCGCGCGCGCACGCACGCACGCGAATGCCAACTGTGTCGTAATTGTGCTTTGAACAGCTCGCAATCACATCGTACCACTGATGGGTACTGATGGGCTCCTGGCCAGGGTTGGGGAGCGATGCGTTACTTGTAACGCCGTTAGTGTTACTTTTCTTCAGTAACGGCTTGGGTAACGACGTCATTTCTTTTTTTGCTAGTGACGGTAACGACAATTCTTTAAAAGTATAACTTTCCTAGCCCTTCTTGCGACGCTGTAAAAAAAACTGTTGAGAATTTATTTTCAGGGTAAAAGTTGATATTTCACGAAAATAAATTTTACTTTACAGAAATTAACTTTATATCCCACAAAAATAAATTTTCCAAATTGTTTCTCAGTGTGCGTTGCAGAATCCGATAACATAAACTTGTACAAATCAGGTGACTGTTCGGAATCAACCTGATCAGGACTATGGGTGAATTTCTAGTCGAGAATGTTACATTCCGCGGAATGAGTACGTTCGAGCGACGGTGTTCCAGTGTCCTATAATCCTTACCGTTTCATTGTGTAACATTCAGCTATGCGGAAGTTCCAGACGTTTTTGTCCACGGACGTTCCGAATTGGAGCGTTTGGGTATATATATAAAGTTGGAACGGGACGAAAGTAGGTTGGCTGAGGGTCAAGGTTCGCCAGAAGTCCCTTTTCCTCGCGAGAACACTTGGCGCGCTAAAATCTCGGAACAAGTGGATATACCAGCTTCTCGTAACTTTATAACGCTTGAGTCTTCATTCGATCGAGAGCCGTAGCGTTTCGCGTGTTATAATTTCTCGAGAGTCCAAAGACTTTTAATACTTGATGTTCAACACAGTATAAAACGATAAAATTAGCCGCTTTCAAGCTCCTGTGGTAAAAAGTTTGCTTCTTAACTCTAATATTAACACTAAGTGCTTGTCGGACGTATCAGTGTAAAATTCTAACTTATTTTCACGAAATTTCTTATGCATGAAGATTACGTTGAAAGTAAAATGAAAAAGAGGACAACGATTGAAACTTACGATAAGTAATTTAATAAATCATAAATAATGATATAATTTCAAATAATAATTTAATAAATATTTTTAATAAATATATATCCAATATTGCATAAAATGAGGGTATTATTATCAGAATTAACCAGCGTGAATGCGTATGTAATGTCAATACGCGGAAAAAATATTGTATGAAAAATTACGTTGAAATTATTAATTTTCTCTATAGTTTTTGTTAAATTGGATTATATTAAATTATAATGGATTATATTAAAATTACAGCATAAATTATTATAGGAATCTGATGATTTACCGAATAAACGATATAAAAAAAGAAAAATATTCAAGTAATTGCAACAATTTTGCAGCAAAAAGACAAATATGCATAATAATATTTCGAAATAAATATATAATTTCGATTATAATTCTCTGAGATTATAAAAATTTTGTCGTAATGTTTACTACAACATTTTTTCCATGTGCATACGCAAAGAAAAATCGACATTTCAATGTCACCCATTCGCCGGGCTTGTTTCATTGCGAGAGTCGTCACATTGCGTTACGGAATACATCGTAATATTTAATTATCGGCCCGGTTAAATCGCAGCGTGGCACGCGGAGCCAAATTAAAAAGCAAATTAACTCGTAACTGCGACACTCGTTTCGAATCTATTAAACCGCGCGCGATGTAAACGATTGGCGACAGGCGTGCGAACGTAATCGCTATTTACGCGCGAATCGCTGATAACGAATGTGTCACACAGAGGCACTCTTATGCATTGTTCATCGGCCTTTCGTTTCAGGTTTGGATCGTTGCTCAATGGAACGATATTCGATGGCACGTTGTTCCTCGTTATCACTGGCGAATACGCCACCGCCGCTCTCATGGGAAGCCGTGCACGTGACACATGGCGACGCAGAGTCCACGTGAGGTACACGCCGCATAAATATGTTTCCATTCCGTTACCCGGTACCGTCTACGTGCGCCGTTACGTTGTACGTTATGTAGAATATGCCGCTTCGCGTCGCGTTATATGATATTGGGAATACAAATTAGTTCGGCCCGTTTTTTTGTGGTCAAAAATGAATTTATTTCAGAACAAAATGAATGAACAGATTAATCAAAGTATTGTCCATCGCTACTACTTTTTCCCACCTCTCAGGCAATTTTCGAATTCCATCTCGAAAAAATGTCTCGTCTTTTGAGGCGATCCAAGTTAGGAGCCAATTTTCGATTTCTGTGAAAGAAGTGAACCGGTGACCTGCCAAATCGTGCTGCATCCGTCGGAACAACCAGTAATCAGAAGGAGCAATGTCCGGCGAATACGGCGGGTGCGGTAAAATATCCCACTTGAGCGTTTCCAAATAATTTTTTACGACTTTTGCGACATGAGACCGAGCGTTATCAGGCAGAAGAATAACTTTGTCATGTCTTTGCTCGTATTCCGGCCGTTTTTCTCGTAATGCACGGCTCAAACGAATCAACTCCCAATGATTTTGCAAGTTCCTCTTGCGTTTGACTCGGATCTTCATCGAGTAATGCCTCCAATTCTTTGTCTTCGAATTTTTTTGGCTGTCCAGAGCGAGGCTTGTCTTCAACGCTGAAATCACCATTCTTGAAACGTCGAAACCATTCTCTACATGATTTATCAGTTGGAGCATTGTCACCATAAACTTCTACAAGCATTCGATGCGCTTCAGTTGCATTTTTCTTCCAATTAAAGCAGAAAACTAAAACCTCCCGCAAATACTGCTTAATTAACACAAAATTTGACATATTCAACACAGTAAAAAATAGGGGTTTTGTATAAAACTCAAAGCGATATAAACTGAACATTATTGACAGATGTCTAACCTCTCTGAAACCACCGAAATCAGCTGTGACTATAAAACATTCATAACAGCCAGAGCCATCTTTTGAAAACGGACCGAACTAATTTGTACTCCCAATATAACAACGGACTCTTTGAGCCAATTTGCAGGCAATTTTCCGTCAACGAAAACATCACGTTCTCGATAATCTTTCAACTATTAAATATCCGAGTTGCATTAAACGAGATGGAAAGAGGGACGAATGGAGTTTTGCGAGCGCGAACAACGGAAGCGTGTCCTTGCGTTAAATTCAAGTCTTAATCTTGTTGATTATCAGCTATGAGAAAGATAGAGGAAAAGCTGCTTATCCTACTGAACATAGAAAAATGTTGCAGTGAATGTCACTATTCCGCAAAATTTTTCATGAAAAGAGAAATATATCTACAAGAAAAGAGTTCTCTTAAAGGATTTGTCAGAGAAACGTAGGGCACAGGACAAATGTGTCTCTCGCGATACTTCAACCGCTGAATCTTTTCACGACTTTCCCCCTCCAGGCGTGTCACAAAGTACTCTTAAAGCTTTATGATTAAATGTAGACTCTTTGCTTCTCAAGTGCGACAGCTGACTCCGTTTACGAGCGTTAAAAATCAAAGGAACTGAGCTTCTCTCCCTTTCTTTCTGCGTGTCGGGTCATGAAGAGAAGCATATTACCGGGATTTTCCTCATGCGCATAATGCGCTTCTCGCTGCCACGCGGTCGTTTTATGCGGTGATAATACAATAATATAAGCTCGTTCATGATTTCCAGCCAGAGATGCCGCCACGCAGACGGAGGATTTCGGATCTCCGGACGACGCCAGTTAGTACAGCGTGGCGGCATGCCGGCACCCGACGCTCCAGCACTTCCGGACGCATCCGTCTGTACGCCGACACCCGCGTGACGCCGCCGCACCCTCGCTGGCACGAGGGCGAGTTCCGCGCGTCGAGGAGGAAGAAGAGGAGGAGGAGGAGGAGAAGGAAGAAGAAGAGGAGCAAGATCGCAGCGTCGCGATGATCCAGCGTCATCGACACCCTCGGCGAGCAACTCGTTTCGCGCGCTTCAAGAACTTGCCGGACCTCGTTCGACAACATGAGCCGCGCTGAAACTAATTGCGAACAAGTAGTCGTTGTTGTCGACTACGCGGCGGTCGCTGTGTCGTCGTACTCGTCGCCGCGACCAAAACGGCTCGGTCTTTCACATGGAACGCACGCTGAAATCGCGAACAGCTCGCTCGGAACGAGCGAACGCGAGGCGCGTGTCGACAGCGCAGATTAGCTCGTCGCGACGAGATCGATTACGGGAATTAATTACGACGCGAGTTGCAGGGATACTAATCGCGCCGCTCGTTCTCGGCGGTGTACGTGGAGATGTTTAATCACAGCGCAGCACTTCGCGAGTGTTAACGTCGTTTGCGCCCGCATCCACATCGTTTTCCGCGATTGATTAACTCGCGAGTGTTCGGCGCGAGTGAGAGAGCGGTGCGCTCGACTACGAAATTGCTCTTTTCCTCTGCTTGTTTTTCTTCGTGTCTTCTTCTTTCTTTTTCCTTCTTTCTCCTTTTCCTCCTTTCTTTTCTTTTTTCTTTGTGATCGCGTATAACTTCGCGTGTACATTTCTTTTTCTTTCTTTTTGCGCTCTTTGAATGCATAAATGTTTGAAGGCACGGCTTGCTGTCGTAGAATACTCCGAATTCCAGTCGATCCTTCTTATACGCGAACCTCTAAATCGATTGGGAAAGTTGGAATTTTTCCGAGGAAATTTTAATTTAATATCTCAAAGTAAACGGAGGGAACCGCTCTCTGTTTTGTGATACACTTGCGGGTTAAAAGTGACGGCAGAGAATCGTGTGTCGAATAAAACGATATATCTCGCGCGCAGGATGAAGTGAGGCGCACTTTAACGTGTAATTGTTTGCTCAAGCTCGAGAGCTCATTGGCATCAGGCCAATGCATAATGCCAAACCCTTATATCCACGTCATGAACATTGTTGTTACATATATATATATATATATATATATATATATATATATATATATATATATACATATGTATATATTTCACGCGAGAGAAGAGAGAGAGAGAAAGAAAGAGAAAAAAAACCCCAACAAGGACGCGCAAAGAATACGTGTCGAGATAGTGTTTGGAGAATCATCTTTTTAATATCGCAGAATTTTATACTACGATCAAACGCACTGCAGATATAGAGATTAGAGCCACAAATCCGTACTTCCTTCCGGATCTCGATTTGTTACCTCAAGTGAGTTACCTGCGACCGTGAGAGGTTCGCTTCGATATTGCGAGGCAAATTAACGGCGTTACATTCATTTAGCGTAATGCAGATAGGACGATATAACGATAGGAAACGGCCTTGTAACAATATAATTGCTGTAAATCCGTACGGATCGTAATGCATTTATTCTTCGCGTGGGGATGCGCGGAAAATATCGAAGCGTGTGTCGATTTTCGTCTTGGCTTGGCTGCGAGAAAATTCGAGGCAGCCTCGTGAAATTACATTGGACATTATTGGAGAATTCGTCGGAATATCCGAGGCGCACGGTAACGGTATCTCTGCTTTAAACGAGAAACACGGAATCGATGCAGTGCATGTTTTAGAGTTGTGTGTTGGTACGGCATCTTCTCTCGCGTGTGTGAGAAGAAATTACTTAGCACCACGGATACGTAAGCTTTCCTCACCGGAGGAAGAAAATATCGAGGCGATCGGAGGTGGAAACGCTCGTTAACGAGCTCGGGCGGTGTCGTTTCGCCTCGTTTCGTACGCGCCGTTCTCCGAGAATCGTCCGCCCTTTCCTCGAGAGAGACCGCAGGGAGGGCGTAAAATAATTACGCGCTTTCAATTTATAATTGTAGAAACGTCGCTCGCGCGCGCGTGAATCCGACATGGAAGGATAATTTATTATATCTGTACAGCGTTACACGCCTCTCCGCGGGTGAGATCAATGTTGCTGTTGAAGAACACCGCCGCGCGCGCTCTCGCTTGATATTCGCGGCGTCGCATTCGCGCGTTTCTGAACAGACAAAGTCGACCGACGACACTTCATTAGCTTAAATTGACACAGAGCCGACCGACGGATCGTTACTTGTTTTCAAGTTGCTGATAACGAAGCGCGCCGTACCTCAGACGGTAAGACGCCCTCTTTGAGAAACGCGCCTCGAGACTCTTATCCCTCTTCGTTCGAGATCTTAAGAAAGAGAGAGAGAGAGAGAGAGAGAGAGAGAGAGAGAGAGAGAGCGAGCTTGCTTCAAAAGTCTCTCCCGTGTGTTCGTGCGTGTGAAAAAAAATGATCAAAGTACATCAATCGGTTAAGACACGTAGATACTCGCGTACTAGTACGGGCGATCGATCGGACCGAGTAGAGCGAGAACGATAGCACGTGCTATTTCGTCGACGTTAAAGACGTCGTGCTACTCCCGTAAATAATAAGTGATAAAAGATCGCAGGACTCTCTTAAGGGATGAACTATTTGTCTGAAGAAAAGAGAAAATGAAAAAAGTTGTAGTTCAAAAGACTTGAGTTTATTGCGAGAACTTCAACCGTGCGCTCGAACCGATATCACTAGCAAACGAATATCGCCTTGACTCACGCGCTTTTTATAGCTCTCATCACGTCTATTTTGCACCATGGCAAATGCAGGGAAGCATTGATACGAAAGGGAAAACAAGAAAACTGGAATTGCGAACTCGTGAAACAAGTAAGAGGAATTAGTTAGCGTAGATACCGGGATAGTTGTGTCGTACAGGGTGTTTCGCGTGAAGCGCACTCACGAGCTGTTTCCTCCAAGACTATCGAACACGGAGAGAGGCAGATCTGTTTTCGTACGCGAGGACTCAACCCCGGAGTCCTTCGTGCAAGTTTTAATGCGTCAGAGATAGGAGGATCTCCAGAGCGGGACTATAGTTATATTTTCGTGACGTATCGTACTATCGAGATAAATTACGCAAAAAATCACTTAGCAATGACCGAGAGAGGGAGAGGAAGAGGGAGTGGTCGTTGAAATTTCACCACGTGATAAAACTCGAACGCGGATTTAGCGATAGCGTTATATAAAGTGATTTAAAGAAAAAAGAGAGGGTGAGAGAAAGAAAGTGGCATTACCTCGCCCTCCTAGACGTAGCGAGCCGATGCGAGGGGTCTACGATCTGCAGGAAAGGACAGAGTTACGGATGAAACACTGCCTGCGAATGATTCACCGGTCGACACGAGAGACAGCTCGGCTGTCTACGACGTCGATGCCGCGATTCACCGCTACTTTGTATCGTATCGAATGCGAATCGTTTTTATATTCAACAATACCGACTACGCATAGGTAGAACTCTAGATAAGACCATTAGCTAGAAAAATGCAACACAAGGCGACTAGTTAGATCGTTGATTAAAACCGCGAGACTTTTACTAATCACACCACCGAACGAATGCCTTAATCGGGAAATTTTTGTAAATCGGTACTATGGACTGATAAAAAAAAGGGGGAAGAAAATTGAGAAATACACATGTCGCACAAGCTCTGCGGAGGATCGCTACGCATCGGTCGGTTGAATTCGGCTATTTCTCGTAGAGTAAAAAAATAGGAATTGAGCGCCGTAAATCATTTAAATAAGAGCGATAGTCGCGCGCGCGTTTTGTACGGCACTTTAATTATTGTCGGATCGTCGACTCTCGTTATTAATCGCGACGAAATAAAGAGACAAGTCTTTGTTACATTTCTAGAAATGAGTTCGCTCATTATCCTGTAAACAATTTATCGGAAATTACGACGAAGTTGCGGTAAACAACTCATTTCGTACGCGCAGTGACGAATTCATTTTCATGTTAATGTGCATCAAGTTTTAATTACTGATTTAGCAATAATGATAATTATTTCGAAAGATATTTTCGCAGAATGGTAATCAGTAAATTTTCCGCGTGTAGAAGCAGATGTGTGCGGAGGCAGACAGCGCAAAGAATTATATGTATATGTATGTAAACTGTACAAAGGAGCGACACTAGCCGTATATAAATCGCAATAAAAATCCACTTACTCGCTAGGTATCGTTTTCCAAACTAATACAGGGGTTGTTAAGAAAATAAGATATAAAAGGGGGAAAAAAAGAACAGTAAACCAAGTGAAAATCGATCGCAGGTCGGTCAGTAACTTTATTATCGCGTCAACTAAAGTAAGGATAAATTCTATCAAAGCCGATGTGGAAGAGAATAGTTAATTTTTCAATCAACGAGCCCCCCTAATTATTCAGTTTAGCGGGACTTACCGGACTTACCGGTTTCCATGCAAGTCGAAATAGCGTCGCATCGCCGAACGAAGATTCTCACTTGTCGAGGGATCCTCATCTCACGCGTAGTTTAGCATAATTTTCTTCGGCCTTTTTATTAGGATTTTCGATACGGCAGCTTTATTTCGTATTGTTATGGACAATTGCGAGCACGACTGTATCGCAAAATGATGTATATACCTATAACATGACGTATGTTTGTCAATAAATAATTCGTACAATGAAAACGCCCCGCGTCGCTTAAGTTTATTCGTCGGAAAACGCGTGGGAGATTTCGTAAGTATGCGTAAGTAATAAATATCTGCAACATGATGCGATATCTCAAGAGAAAATCTCAACGACACCTTTATATTCTAAACTCTTAATCGTTTATTATATATCGTTTGTGTACAGATTCTTCTCATTCATAGAAACAAAATACTAGGAGAGTTTTTTTTTTTATATTACATTACGTCGCTTATGTACCCCTTTTAGTGGCAATTTCGCAATAAAGTATAGTTCGCTTAACATAGCCGAGGTAGTGAGCACTTCTGAAATGTGCTGCGATGCAAAGAAGTGGCATGAGTACTTCATGATTTAGTGCGTTTCGCGTTAGGTAACTCAGTCAAAATACATTTCGAAGTGCGTTCACGTAACAAATATTACATCTCACGGATCGGCTCTCGCACACTTTCCAACTGAGGAAGAAACCTATCGTGAATAATTAACGCATAATTGAGCTCCGTAAATCTTTCTTCGCGGTAACGTTCGTACCGTTATGATATGGTCAATCGTGTTTCCTTATCTCTCAACTATAAGCTCGTTTTCGAACAAAGTATTTTCAAGATACACATCCAAAACATCTTCGAAATCAACATTTTCGACATTCGCACGGCTGCTGTTTGTACAATTCCAAAGAAAAAAACTCCTAAATTCACGTTAATCAAATTCATGAAGGGAGAATCGGTCGCATCCCGATTCCCCCGACGACGAGGTCTGCAATAATTAGCATTAATACTAAAACTTATCAGCTATCGCTCGTTATCTCTCGTGATATTAAACTCAATTACGCTTGTAGATTGGTATACGGTATATTTATATCGTGATATTAATCTTTCGCGATACCTGTAAAAATAATCTCACTTTTTTTGAACATATTCTGCATAGAGCTTACGTAGAGAATACGTATAGTTAAGTTCTATATATATATATATATATATATATTTAAATATTTGTTGTTTCTGTTTTTAGATTACTTGTTAAATAATCTTTGCCGATGTCAACAGTTTTCCGAATAAGTTACTTGCTATGATAAAAAGAATCGTGTTCCTATGATTTATCGTAGTAAGATACGAAGAATCATTTTTTTTTCATAATGGCACAACTTATACTCAAAAGTAGAGAGTGAAAATATGGGTTAATCTACATTATACATTTTCAGAATTAAGTGGTAGAATATTGAAGTGGCTTAGTGAATTATTTTCTATCGTAACAATTGTAACAAAGATACTGCAAATTATTCGCAGCTAATCGAAACTAATATCTTTATCCTTTGAGACATCTTCTCGATATGCGCCTTAAAATATTTTCCACTAATTTATTAGAAGTATTATATATATATATATCCTACGAAATTATATTTTTATAACCATCTCCATAAACGCATCATACGTCTCAGGCTTGTATCGACTGAAGAAAGAGAAACCAGGAAATTGTTCCTGAGTTTCTAGAGTCACGCAACCGATTGCAATGTACAATTCATTGAAATGTTATGACTTGAAATCATGACATGCCTTTTGCAGCAATCGTTAGGACGAAGTAGACCAGTCACCAGAGGTCAGAAACGAAACAACAAATCAACAGTTAAAACGTACATTCCAACAATTTCGTGTGAGTTTGTATATAGTCGTATTCATAGAAGTCTCACAGCGTAACAGTTTCTCCGAATAAAATCTATGATATACTTATTTATATAGCCGCGTGTACAAGTACATACATATGTATCTTTCATATCTATCCTCTTAGTTGGGCCTTGCAGAATCATTAAAACATATTTACTTTTCGCGTCCGCCTTTCAGCACTGCATCGATTACTTATCGCCCGGATGGCGCGCGCCAACAAATTAAAATCTATCGTTATGTCGCGCAACGACATTGCGGATATCCACAAGAAATGTTCTCGAATATACATCTCGGTATTTAATGCAACACCGTGATATTTTCAAGCACTTTACAAAATACGATAGATGTTAAATATCGACGATTTCTGTACAAAATTAGATTAAATGCTCTCGTAGTTACGCACCAAAGCCTTTCAAATATACCAAAATCGGAATGCTCATGTTATAAACGTTTGCGTAAATGATAAGTGCACATATTCTTCCATGGAATGTTTCAAGAAATGCTTTCGATATGAAAATTTTCTATTTCGCAAATCACAAACTTTTTGTTGTACTCAATTATGTTTCAAACTAGTTAAAAAGAAAATTAAAGGAAATGACGTAAAAATATTGTGAAAGAGAGAGAAAAAGCTGTGTATATCCTATTATGATTAATACATAGACTTTTGTATGTACATGCCGTGTACTTACACTTGTCATGTTTTCAATATGATAATATGTATCATCCGTAATGTTTTATTTACGACTAATTTGCGCCAAATATTGCGCCCATATTTTTATATTTATAACAAAGCACTCGGAAATCATATTCAGAGTATCCTCATCACATTTATGCGTTGCGAACGCGTAAATAAAGTCCGAACAAATACGACCACAGACAATCGTACAGATCAGATGTGATTTGGTGACGGAAAATTAGAAGCAGCCTTCGGTTCTTGATGACATACTCATTTCACCAACGTCTAACCTGTCAAACAAGGTGTGTTACGTTAATTACTTAGACTTCGATATTACGCTATCGAAAGTTACTATCGTGCATCTGTCGCATTATTAGATTTAACGGTTGTCTTTTAATATATATATATACATATATATACAAAGTCTTATCTCTTTTCTATACCACATACACTCACGAAATACCCATCCAGATTCACAACAATCTCAGACAATTCTCAGCGAATTGACTTATCAGGCATACTTTTGAATCGCATTAGTTTACGCATTTCTTCGGATATTGTTTAATATGACTTGCATATTTCAATACACGAACTTCCTTACGCAAGGAATGTGTTGCAGATCTCTTGGTAGTACAGAGAGAATCAGTAGTTACGTCATATTCTCGTAAGAAATACAAAATTCAGGCTCTTTTTTGCCATCAATGTCGAGATCAAGGCCTAATTACTCATAACGCGCCTAATTTAAATAATTTCCCGATTGTGTGAAAGAACACGCTACACGTTGTCGACAAAATAATAGAATATTTCGCGTAAGTAGTGTAACAAACTGCCAACTACACGGTATTTGCATGTATTTGTAACAGACAATTCTATCTTTTTGTAACACAAAACAAATAGAATTACACGCACATATATATTTAACAGCCAATGATAATGAGGAATATTATAATAAAATGATATTCTTTTGACATATATAAATTAATATATATGTATAATAGAATGTAGTAAAACTAGTTAAAAAGTTAATAGGGCGATGAAAGATATCACAATTTGATCAGCCAAATGGTAAAAGAGCCTTCGCAATTTATTAGTAAATTACTAGATTAGTAAATTGCAAAGGCTCTCTTACTATTTGGTTGGTCAAATTGTGATACTTTTCATTGCTCTATTCAGTTTCTATAATTTCATAGGGTTTCACCATATTCCATTACAGTATATACTACAGTTTATATATGTCAACAGAATATGATTTCATTATAATATTCCTCATCATCATTGGCCGTTAAATATATATTTGCATATATAGATGTATCCTATGTTTACATTTCTCTTTATATAATATTATACGCGTTAATTATTGTATCTCTAAAAAAAATCGACAGGAGCATTTGTCGATAACGCGTAACGTTCCTCTGTTAGAATTCTAAATTTACAGAGTTAGCTTTTACATCGTTTTTATACGTAAAATTCCATATTGCGCTTATCTTGGTAGCGGTTGCAATCCGTGTGTACATACATTAGTCAGATCCATGCCAGCAATTATCTATGGTGTAATGATTCACCACCTTGAATCGAGCGGTGTGACCGAGATTCCTAAACCTTTCTTGAATATCGTTAGCATTACTCAAAACAACCACCAAAGTACATTGTGTGTGAATCAATCATAGCGAAACATGTATGCAATAACGAAAGCAAGTCGACACTACAGACGGGTAACCCAGATGGAGGAAGCATATACAGTACGAGATTGGCACTCAACAAAATGCCTCGTCATGTTATCACCATGGATAATCGTTTGATCCATGAAAACGCAGTACATATTTATCGCGCGTAGTTGAAGTCGATCGATGACAGTTTCTTCATCTTGGGACCTTTTGAACCATTTGGCTGTAATGCTTTGTCACATCGACGATAAGTTTAATTACGATTGTCACCTCGGTCAATATCCACAATACAATGAGAAAGAGAGGGAGAAGGAGAAAGAGAGAAAGAGAGAGAGAGAGAAAGAGAGAGGGGAGGACTCGTAGTTGCGCGGTATCGCAGAAAATAAATTATTTTCAGATCGGACTGAAAATATCGCCCAACGGTATGTGGGTTAGTGAACGTTTATAAACCCAGACTCGATACGCTAAACTAGTAACTACAGCAGACGACGTATCAACTAACGACGAAGGCGAGGACGACGATGGCGAGGATCACGATGACGAGCGTCGATATACTTAGGCCGAAACTATTTGCAGACGCGCAATGAAGAGAGTCTTTGTGGTAATGTGTGGAAGGTGGATGCTCGTCCCCTGGCTTACACCATTCGCCCCTCGCTTTAAATTCCACCTTAAAGGGATAAAACAGATCATCAAATAATCGTGTTACAACATACCACATCTTATTGCTCTCTAAATTCTCTGGAGTAAAATTTTACTTAAGAGAGAGAATGAGTCACTCAAAAAAATTACTGGAGTGATTTTTTGCTCATATCGAGTGAATTCTCTATTTGGGATCGTGGAATGAATATTTTCACTCAAAATTGAAGAGCATGAATCTGATGTGCTCCATCATCATCATAGGAATATATTCGGTCAACTTAAATATTCATTAACTTAAATATTCACTCATATGGAGTCAGAATTCTCTTTAAATATGAACGAAATATTGCGATATCGAACGGCAGTATTTTTACTGTTACTTTAAATAAAAATATTGCTACTTTTCATTTGTTCTGAGTGAAATTTCATTCCAACGAATTTAAAGAGTATAATCGATGCTTCCTCACCTGACAAATATCTCGGCAAGGAGGACAGATCAGTGCACCTTTATGTAACCATCCATTCTGCAGAATTCTTATGGTGATCTCTTGTCCAGCGTGATAGCAAGTATAAGTGTAGTTGTTAATCTGTGATAAAAAAAAAAAATATATATATATATATACATATATATCTTGTTTTATTCATATTTTAATTTAAAATATGATGTAAAATCTTCTGTGGAACAAGAAAGATAAATAAGAAAGATACCATTTTTCGTGTTTGTGTTAAATAATGGATATTAATTTATGTTAAAAACCAATGAAAACTTCGATTTGAATTTGTAAAAGTTTTAGACGGGTAAAGCGTAATTTAAAAGAAAAGCAAAATGACAATAATAGAAACTTTACTCTGATTCAGATATATAGAGTGTTTAGTGTGTACATATATTGTATCTCGATCTTCCGTAACGGAGTTACGGAAACCTCTACGAGCGTCCGCGGTATCGCAATGTAACGTACTCACCATAATGTGTAGTCTGCCGGCTTCGCACTTATACAGGTAACAACCGGAACCCCAATGTTGCCACTGGCGCGCTTGTTTGCAAGTTCTCTCCTCCCACATGTCATTAGTGTGGTCGAAGCACCTCGAGTGCGGACCGTACTTCTCTAACGCGAAATTCTTGTCCGGGTCTGAAAGAAGAAGGATCCACTTGGAGCAAGGTAGCAGCGCGCTGAGCTATGCTGAGCTATGTTCTTCGCGACGCGACGCACGTTTCTTCGATACGCGGAAGCGAGCGAGACATCGTCGTGCGCCGTGAGACTTACGCGGGTTATTCTCCTCGTAAAGGCAGTGAGATCCTCTGACTACTATATTCCGTGCTCTCCACGTGAATTCCTGTATGTATGGACAATAATCCGCCAGAGACACAGATCCGCCGTAATATTGTTCCTCCCCGGATGGTACGTGGGGAATCGAGTCGAAGTTCTACAATACGAGACAGAAAGAGAGAGAGAGAGAGATAGAAACCGTCAACCAAGGATCTTCACACACATGGCGAATATGTTCCCGCTGTCGATACGACACATCGGTCGCGACAATGGAGATATGTCGCGCGCGCGGACGTATCCGCCGTTAAACATTTCAACTACAGTTGTGAGAGTTGTCAGAGAATATTTCTTACTTGATATTTCTTGGGCAACGGCTGTTGATGCTTCACCAGGTTACACAGAGCGACCGAGCTTCGATCGTCCGTGCATTCGGTCTGCAACGGGTCCTGTTTCACTTTGTTGCAGAATGGATGTATCGACTTCCCCCTGAAATATTAACGCACCTTCGTACAAGAATTGCGACGACACGTTGGGTCAAATCGCTCCTCGGAGTATTGCAACGTTTACTCACGATAGCGGCGACGATTTGGAGGATATCCACTCCTTGCAGGATCTCATCGCGAAATTGCAGCCCAGATTCTTCCCCCATCCCAGCTCCTGCGCCATCGAGTAGTTGGCACTGTACCAACCAGTATCCTCCATGAGGGCGAGCGTTATCCTTGAATAAACTGGATTTTGCGTATGTGTTCCTGTCATGGCCTCATTCTGAAGAAACAAAAGAGATCGAGCTATAATAGTGTACATTTTTTATTACAACTAGAACACCACATAGCGCGCGCCACTTTAGCCTTTTCGTTGTACTATTTACAATTTATATTACAATATTCGTTTTTACAAATTATATTCCCAGCAAACACAATGTTACATATAACATACATGTTAGTTGTAATTTCCTATTCAATAAGGTAACTGTTATATAACACGTATATTATATAACAGTTATATTGTTTGTTGAGTAAGAAATTACAACTAACATGTATGTTACATGTAACATTGTGTTTGTTGGGATTACAATAAATATCAAATTTATATGACACGAACAACACAACCTGATCTGTCACCGCAGCTGACAGCTGCAAGCGGCACGAATTCAACTGCGACGGGATCGAGACAATCGAGACGGTCGAGGCGGCCAATTAGCGTCGCGGACAAGAGGCTTCACCCACTTCGATACATTCGGGATTTAGTTAACGCACTTTTTCTGATAGGAAACTCAAGAGTACAAGAGCGAGATCTTATTTTCGAGAAAAAAATTAGCAAAATTTCGAGATCGACAAGTTTTGCGAGTCTCGTCGTTATAATGATAAAAAAATATAAAATTTTTCTCTTTTATCAAAAAACTCAGATGTAGAGCATAACGAGGTCTCATTTTCGAGAAAGAAAATTAGCAAAATTTCGCGAGTTCTGCCGCTATGATAATGTAACCACCGTTAAGCTATTTTTTTATTAAAAAACTCGAGCGTAGCCGAAATCTCATTTCCCCAAGAGGAAAAGTAGCCAAATCTCAAGATCGACAAATTCCGCGTGTCTCGCCGCTTCTTTCTGTATCGCGGCGGCCCTGAGAGGTCTCCCCCGTTGCGAACATTGTTCCAATCCATTTGCGCGGCGGAGGATCGAATTTGAAATTGCCGATGTGCGTACCTCAAACACCCGCTTCTCCCAGTGCGTGAGAGCGGTGCCGTCCTCGCCCTGGTCTTCCAATTCCGCGCCCTCCAGTTCCGGGCAATTGAAGTGCGCCTGAACCTCGGCGCGGACCCGAGGCGTGACTATCATTTGCATGGTCCTCTCCACGTTGCCACCGTGCACTTGCCAGCGAGGCCTGACCACGGTTTTGATCGTGTTCTCGCTCCACTGATGCGTTTGTAATCTGTCCGAAACGAGTATCGGCCGTTATTAGCATATGCTGATTCGAGGTAGTCGACGAGGGGCCGCCGTCGCGTCGCGACATCGTATACACGTCGTGCGGATGGATCGCGCGAGATTCGCGAATACCGTGCTCTGGAATTCTGCGGTAACTCAATGGAATTTCGAACGAACCGCCCGCGGAAAGAGCAAACAGAGCAAATAATCAAACGCACTGTGCGCGAGAGAGTCTCTTCTTCGCCGTCGCTGGAGTTTTTGAAGCACCGCCGGAAAATGGTAGATCGCAAAATAGATTGAAAATCCGCATACACACGAGCGACGGTACACGCATCGAGAGAGGAGTCCTGACGCGATTATTTACTCCGCGCATCTCTTTCTCTCTTTCGTTTATTTTCGCTCGTGTGTGTTGCGTTCGTTCCTCAACACGGCATAATATATCTCCACGTGTTTCCCGCGCGCGCGCTTTGATTTCTATCGGGCGGGTAATAATAGTGGTTTTTTCTGCAACATATTTACTGTATGTCAAACGTTCAATATCTTCGTGACTTTACAGCGCCGACAGATAAATATAATTGCACTTCAATCTCTCCTTCTCTCTATCGTACTACCTCCCTCCCCCCTCTCTCTCTATTTCCCCTTCTCTCTCTGTTCATCCCCCGTATAAAGTGATTGATGCGATACGTCGGCGAAACGCTGTTTTCGACAGCGACCGACCCCTCCTCTATCCTATTTCGACATGACGGATGAATTCGCGAATGGCCATTTTGCCGGGAACGAGCACGAGGTGAAAAATATTATTACGCTTGAACGTCAGTGCAAAATCGCTCGTCAGCGTATCTCATATGCATAAATTGTTAGGCGCCCGGGCGAGCGCGCCGTGCTCGAGCGCAGAAATAGTGTGTAATGCGATAGAGTGCGAATGGAGAAATTGAATGCGACACAGTGTGCGCGAGGGAGGAGGGGGCGGGGAAGAAAGAGTTTCGTTTCCGGATTACGAAGCGATGAGTTGGATTAAACGATGGGAACACGAACAGAACTGATATATGTCGCGTATATATTCCTCTATTGCCACTCGTTGAATCAAACATCGCATCGAACTATTCCCACGCTCTATCGCATGACTTATTCTCATGCTCTGAAAATCGTTTAATAAATATCGTCGTGCCAACGCGCAGATGTAAAAAAAAAATATTGTAACTAACGGAGTAGCGTTTTTGAATTTTGAGGTGTTTCGGAACGAATGATACGCTGACTCTGATCGGGCCTATGGATCGGGCTAGTCTGCGAATCATTTGTTGCTCGTGAAAACGCGCTCTTCCGAGCTTCAACGAGTGGCTTTTCGAGGCGGATCGCGCGAGCTAAAAGTGCCGATCGTCCGTGCATCAATCGTCAATTTGCTCTTTCAGCTCGAACTGGCGATTCCGTAGTTGAGTTATCAAATTCGAACGCTTGAATAATGCTTGAATAATAATGAATAATTTGCATTTATGTAAAACAGACAATTATAGGACGAGTAGAAACAAATGAGAATGTAATTGACGCTGATGGGGCTATCGACGGGCGGAATTCGGATAAGGACAGCGACATTCCCGAGGTGGAGAAAAACGAGCAGAGCTCCATCGGTTATCGGCAAAGCTGACGGCGTTAAATTTATTTAAAGTTGGAGAGAAGTACCTCTATCGTTTCGCAAACGATTACATCTAATACCGCCGTGTCGTATTACAAAGTCTATGTCCTTGACGAAATCTAAGATTACAAAGGATCCTCTTTCGCCGTGCAAGCGCGGGCGGACGGGCGCCGTGGCGGATTAGCGTAAACCTTAAACGTAAGAGGATCCCCGTAGAGATATTCAGACGCGGTAGGGTGAGAACGCGCGAGCTCACGAGCAGATGGATGGCAGGAGATGCAAGGAAACGCTCGAATTTGTAACGGAGAACGCGCAAGCTGCGAAGCGGAGCGGAAACGGACGGAAAGGACGACTGGAACTAAAACGAGGAGCAACGAAAGACGACGGGGCGAGGTGAAGTGAGGCACGAGGTGGGCTGAAAGTGAAGTAAGGGAGCAGAAAAAGGAGGAAAAGAAGGAGGCAAGGAAATTAAAAGGACGAAGGGCTGCGACGAAGCAGGAGAGAGAAAGGTACTAGCTATCTCCGACGAAAATCTCTGTCCCTCAATTTGAGTCCCGGGACGTCGTCGGGAAAAGAATCATAGAAGTCGCTGACGAAAGAGTTGCCGAAAGTTTAAGAACTTTCGCATACATTACCGGCGTGGCTTCTTCATAATTCTCCGACGTCGTGCAACGCGCGATGAGCGATACTCCGCCGAAAAAAAAAGAGAGAGAAAGAGAGAGAGAGAGAGAGAGAGAGAGAGAGAGAGAGAGAGAGAGAGAAGCGTCACTCGAAGCGCAAGTCAACGCGGGAATTCATGAGATCGCTCGGGGAAATCGGACACACCTCGGGGAGAGAGAAGCGCGCCAAGAACATACTAGAAAATTATACACCAGAGCGAGCTGCGCAAGCAGGGACCCGCGTAGAACGCCAGAGTCATTCCCGAAATCTATTACCGCCCGGAACGCCGTGGATCTGTTGCTGGAATTTCGCGATTCGAAGTGGAAAGGCGTCGATTTTCGCCGTCCGAGGGAGAGAGCCGCGTCGGCGCGAGCGCGACGAGGAGCCACGAGGAGAAAAGGAACAAGAGAAGGACGAGTAGGTGGCAAGGGCGTGAGGGAGAAGGAGGGAACGAGGAGGAGTAACTACCAGAGCAGCGAGAGAAGTAACGGATGGTGAAACAGAAGGAAGAGCACGGCAAGAGGGATCTCTCTTCTCTCTAGAGAGCGAGGAGCTCGCATCTGCCAACGCCGGAAGCCAGTTCGTTACGGTCTGTCGACTCAGATAGAACGGGATACCAGGAATTTTCCAATTTTAAAGGCAGATACACCACCATCGAACGGCCGTTAAGGGCGGGACAAGGAGGAGGACGAGCAGGAGGAGGAAGCGACGAAGAAGAGCCAGCGCGTCCTCTAGTCGGATGATGAATCGGCGAACGAAGCCGCTGCGGGCAGTCATCCTTCGTATACAAAAGCGTCGTAACAGTAATCTCGACAAAGTTGCTTGTGAAGATTCATTTATCAACCGGGACGAACTTTCGACAAATTCGAGTCGGTTAACAACTATCGAAATAGTCGATAGGTTTGTAACTTTTCTCTGAAAGTTCAAGTGTTTCTAACAGCGTATTTGATATTTCTCATTGAAACTGAACAGAACTGGACGGAGCAAACAGGAATATTTTCTCTCTCGTATTAACGATTTTTCTTTCACAAATCTGTAATTTTTATCACTGTAGATAGTCGTCAGTCGTTGACAGTTTTACTGTTAACTCTTCGCGTACGAGTTTATGAGACTGACGAATATACAGTTCACCAATTTTCGTGTTAACGGTCCAGGAATATTTTGAAATCTGCGCAAATCTATTTGCAGATTTTGATTTGATTACGTTACTGTCTTGTAGCTGAAGTACTTTTATAGCTTTGGGAACGAAATGTATTTAAAAAATATTGATTTTCAACAAAACTGCGATAGTTTAAAGTTACTCGACAGACTCAAATTGTGTTATGCGCTTGAAAAAAAAATATGATCGCACGCGAAGGGTTAACGTGAAAGTCCCACCCGTGGAAACAAGTTCGCGCCGCGGATAATTTAGATAGACAGGTGGAAGTAAATTTGGCAACAACTCTACTTTAGTCAACTTGTAAAAGTTGCGTCTCTTATGAGTGGTTCAAGCGACACTCATATTTATCGCACGGAACGACGGAAAAAAGCACGAAAAAATACAAGGGGACTAATCAAAATTTGTTCCATAAAATATAATCGAAATGTAATATGAAGACCTGAGTGTAACTTTTAGTAAATTTGTAGTTACAAAAAGCATGAAAAAAGCATGAAAAAATACAAGAGAATCAATCAAAATTTGCTCCAAACAATATGTCATGATCAAAATGTAATATGAAGATCCGAATGTAACTTTCAGTAAATTTGCAGTTGCATGAATATAATAAAAAATCTATACTATTGTGTGACGTCAATTTTATGATTCATTCGATACAACATATTTGCTTCATAAATGTAAAAAAACATTGCAGAGTTTCTCCATCATCAATTGTCTCAAACGTCATAATAATCACGAAAGTCTATTCGGAGACGCCAGTCACGCGCTCGAGAAAGATATCAATAATAACACGCAGAGAGACTTTCCGTTTTAGAAATGTTCTCGATGTTAACTTTATGCTCGAGTTTTAAGCCGCACTCATTGGCTGGAAATTCACACGCGGCGAGAATCGATTCCAGACAATGCGACATTTGGTATTCTAACTAGAGCATCAGATATTCCGTGAATACGTAAACCGTTATCGTTTTCTGCCGGCGGTTAGCGATCGAATTTCAAGTACATTCTTGCATTCGCGATACGCTGGAATGTTTTATACACCGTCCTCTCCCACTCGGGCTAATAATTCCACGTCCGGGCGATCGTCCATCCGGTTCTTTGTCCCGCAGTTCGTTTCCCGTGCGCGTAATAAAGGATTCTCAATATAAGGACGTGCAAGAGGCACGACCGGGACGGCGGGAGCTGAGAAAACGTACTTTTCATTAAGGGGCGGTTTTCCGGTATCGCTTCTCCTTGGCGTCCTGGGCTCGCCGTTCTCGTCCCTGTAGAAGGCATAGAGGCTCACGGAAAATCCTAAGGCGTGCAGGATCTCGTGTTTAACGGTGCTGAGCAACGTTTCCAACTCCTGCGGCTTCGTGCTGATGCTCCCCGGGCATAGGTTGGCGTGGCCGGCTATCGGCCTGGAAGCAATTAAGTCCACCTCAGCAACCACGGAGATCTCCTCCCGTCTTCATTTTAATTATATCGGCCCGAATTCGCATTAAATCTACCGCCGTTATTTCCTCGGCGGAGGGATCCCTCCCCACACACACACGGCGACGAGAAACAAGCAGCGTACGCGCGCGTAGATTTGCATGGAGAAATCGGGCCGCGCGATTTCCATGAAAGTTTCAGCTGGGGATCGATACATTAAGCGCCACGTGACGCCGTATGTTATGCAAAGTATGTTATGCAAAGTATTCTCTTTTTGTTGATTCCCGTGAACTCGAATATTCCAAGGATTTTTCCATAAGCAAACGACGTGCGTTGACGACGGCGAGACGCGCGACGCACGAATACCGTCGATCTATCACGATCGCAGACATCGCGCGAATAATAAAATTCGCACGAAGCCATTTACATCGAGCGGCACACGACGCGCGTGACGCGTATGTACCTGACAGTCAAATATAATCTACTCAATATGCGTTTCGCCGGGGTCATGAGGTTAGATGTCAAATCGGACGGTAAGAGCGCGAGAGAGAACGCCGGGCTCTCTCCCGCGATTCTCGCAATCGTGCGAATTTGGCCCGGCAAAAAAATTCCCTCGATATTCAACGATACCTCTTCTTCCCCCCCCCCCTTCCTCTCCCGGGTGTATTCGAGGTAATCGATAATTCTAACAGTGTCGCATGTATTCATGCGCGTACGTGTGCGCGTGAATAAATTACGTGCCTTGCGTTTTCCACGTTACGAAGTGCGCGCTGTTCGTAACGGCTGTTCGACGGCAAATTAAAATATTCTGGGATAAAGGTGGATTCAAACGGGCAAAGCTCGGCGACAGTCGCCGCTCATAAAAAAGCAACGAGATATTTCGTTTTAATTGAAGTCATTATTTCGGAGGGGGCGTCCGCCATTGTTAAATCGCTCGAGCCGCATAAACAATCCCTCTTATAAATCCTGTCAAATATTTAATCCGACGGCCCAATGAAATATATTCATGCCAAATGGCGCGCGTGTGTGTGTGCGCGCGCGTGTGTTTGCCTCTGTTCTGTTCATACAAACAACCGGAATTATGCACGCTTCAATCATGGCGCGCACTTTTACAGCGTATTATTAACTGCGCTTGCGAATTCGTGACACAAAGCGTTGCGAAAAGAAAAGAATAAATTCACGGGTGTATATGCATTAGACGCGACCGAGAAAAATAAAACATTTTGTGTGTGAAATGCTTCGCAAAACCTGTGAAATGGAAATTCAATTTCCCGCAAAATTGGTTCACTCTCTTTAATTAATACGATGTATACAATTTCAACGAATAACATCATAGCGGTTCTCTCTTCTTTTTCTATTATTATTGTTATTAACATCATACCGTTGAATCTATTATACGCTCGATTATTAAACGGTTCACATACACATTTCCCCCATTGAAGTTGCAGCCAAGTTGTCATAGTTGAGAGACATTGCTGATGCGTTTGCACAATCATCGACCATAACCGATTACTACAGCAGTGTTTCTCAGTTGTGATAACGAAAAGCGCTGTCATTTCACTCAGAAAAATGTGTGAAAAACCGCTTAGTAATCGGAGTATACATCATTCGGCATATTTACTAGGCCTAGTTTCAAGCGAATTTCTTGATTACACGCAATATGTCTACATATATTCGTGCAGCATAACTTTGATTATTTCGAAAAAGCAACCTAATCGGAATAATCAACAGTAATGAATCACGAATATACAAAGATACTAATCGAGAAATTCGCTTGGAATTAGATCTAGTGAATGTTATGTTGAGGTTAATGCGTATGACTAAGTGTTACTTTCCATCGAACACGAACTTACCGATCCAAGGCAGCTTCTTGTTGGCAATGAGCAGCGTAGGCCACTGTTAAGCCCTTGTGACACCGCTCAGTCTGCATGGCGGACACGTAGAAAACGAAATCGGCACCGTCGATCCCCGGTCCCGCCTTGCTACCCTCAGCTATTCCGCAATTGTGTCCCGTTGCGTTACACGTTCTGCAAACCTACGCAGCACACACACACACATATACACACATAATCGATAAACCGTGCGACGCAGCAGTCACTTCGGAAAAAATGCGAGGTAAAATAAAGGAAAATAGAAAGAAAACGCTTTGATTGCTTATGAGTTTTGAGATACTTGGAATTATAATATACTTTATCACATGTACTGACAACAGAGTTTGGCTCTTATTTTGTCTGATACTTCTTTCTTTAAGAAAAACGCTGTGTTGTCGCCTCGAGACGAGATTTTAATTCTACTTTTCACTAGAATTTTTTAACATTTTGAAGGATTAATATGTTTGATACATACGAAAACTGAAGTCTTACTTAGCGTCTCTAAATAGCAGAGAAAATACCTGCAGGTTCCAATAGAACCAAGATACGTTGCTATAAGCTTTAGACTGTTAAAGTAGGCGTTAAATGGAATGTTGAGGTCAAAAGTAGAATCAAAATTTTGACTCGGCCAATTACGAAGATAACACGCGGGACACAGTATTGATCGAATATAAGAAATATTCAGAATAATGCAATATTTCAGAGCGAATGTATATCACGAGAAATATAATATATTGTACTAACTAGCCACATATTTGTGCAAAAATGATCCTACCTATAAAATTATAAGTTCTGAGTTTGTCTTATTAATAGTTTGTACGTTTTTTTACATAAAAACGAAAAAAAGATTCAAGTCTTATGAACTTGATCCATTACGCCTGTAATGGATTAAACAACAATTTTTACTTTCCACTAGTTGCGTCTTTTTCTCACTATTTTACGGGTTGAAAACTTGTTCAATGAATATCCTATAAAGAGAAAATTGACTGTGCTTGAACAATTGACTTCTTGAACAATTGTGAGTAACCTCACAATATGCTGTCTACTTTTTCTAAATCTTTATCGAATTTTTGTTCTCATTCTTCTCAAAGCGTACTTCACGTTAGTTGAATATTCTTGCACAACTACGGCCAATTATTGGTGAACGGCAAAGAAATGTCACGTCGGGAATTTTCACCGACACGATAAAGTGACACGGACGACTCCTCGTAACGAGCGTTAGACACACGAATTACTGCAAAGAAGATCGCATCTTGTGAGACAACGAAGTATCCGGAAACGTTAACGTCGACGAACCGGGCCGGAATCGCATTACCGTTCCGGACACCTCTCGGATGGGGTAAATAATTTTACAGTGTCAGCGAATGCCTCCGTCGACGAGAGAGGTCGACGACGTCTCTTCCTACCCCTCGTGCTTCGTCCTCTAATAAGTTATCCGACACCAATTCGCCTCTCAGGGCCGTTCATCAATTAGCGCCTCTCGTTTCCAGTCCACCGTCGTCAAAGCACTCCTCCTCGACGCGATCCTCGGTAATCGATCAAGTTGAAGCGTCAATGAGGTTATCGCAGCCTCTCATGCCAATGGATGCGCGTGTGTTCCGCGCGAAAACATAAAGATCGTGCCATCTGTCGCGTTCGCACGCTCTCCCTCTCTCCCGCGGAATTTTAGGTGGAATTTTCTGACGAATTTTCGGCCACGTTTTATTTCGCGTGTTTTTTTTTCTCACGAGAGAGTTTGCGATTAATTGCTTGCGCAATATTTGCTGCATAGAAACACGCGGGCGATTACACGCGATTGAATCGCGGCAATTTGCCGATTCACTGCTATCATTAATCGCGGATACGTTATTGCAGTTTTTTCGACAATTACGGTAAAAGTACCAATTTCCGAACACCTAGTCCCGGACATTCTTATTGCTTTGGTCTCGAAATACGAGTATTTAAATTTTCAGCGACAGAATATGTATATACAAGGTGTCTCCGACAATTGGTTATGCAGCCGCGATGTACAGATTGAAGTCATCAAACTAAACACAAAATTCTTCTACTTTCGAACAACCATATGAAATTTTCAGCTAATCAAAGAAGATTGGGGAATGATATTCACGCGTGATACAGGGATGAGCTATGATAGTGACGTTTGCTCCCGTGTGCTTGTCATTACATTATTATTAGGTCAAACTGAAGTCTATTATTTTGCAGATAACCAAGTGGATGTTTAGTTATTAATTAAAAAAGATTGGTCCGCGATAATATATTAATATTATCTAATTAATAACTAAAAATCTACAAAGTTATTAGAAAGAATGTAGACATAGCTTATCTACCATATCTTGCGTGATCAGCTATAAATCTCCTTTAATTAATATCTTGATAATTATTGCGAATATCGCAAAATGGTGTAGGATTTTTATATTCACCTTAATCCGTGCTGTCTCTCCACGAAAGCGAAGATTGTTCTGGGATACTTTGTATATATATTTTTTTTATGTTAAAAGTTTAAATATTCCTATTTAAAAACAAAGTAATAAGAATGTTCAAGTTTAGGCACGTGCTTGAGTATTATACTTTTATCTTGTATAGATTTTATATTATAAATTTAGGCAAGCGAGATATCTCGGAGGTAATTATGAGCGACTTTAACGTCTTTATATCGAACGACGAAAATAATACAGAGTAATAATTGCAGAGTAACGTTTTACAGAGTAACGTTTGACATCGTAATTATGTCATATTACGTATTTACATGTTAAACCACGAATAATGACGACGTTCAATTTTTGATATGCTAGAATTTTATATCCTTTTTATCGAAGATCGAACAACGCAGTAATTCAGTGAAAAGCTACATACAAAGTGACAGAAAATGAGCTATGCAGGTCCAAACGCTCAAATTAAATGCAAAACACATCGATTTGTCAAAATCACAAGTGTTGTTTTTAGCATTCCACGCGTAATATTATTAAAATGAGTTATCGACGTGGAACGTCGAATTATCGCTATTTAAAGTGGTTCTTAGGTCGCTTTTTACCCGACTTTATCCGAACACATTTAACGGAAAGTACATAACATCTACATATATTTTTGAAAATCATCTCTCGTTGTAAATTGACTGATACACATGATCGCGGCAATTATGCCGAACGGAAATTGTCGGATACAAATAGCGGCGCTTCGTTCTGCATTAACCTACGATTTTATTCCGGGAGTTTAACGTCGGAGCGTGTAGCGTGAAAATTTCAGACTACATATTATATCAGCTTAGTTAACTTTACGGTCGCGTAATAATTCACGCAGCAGATAGAATATTTCTCTAAATTTAGTTTAGCAGTCACACAGTTAATGGACGTACGGGGGCGGTGTACGCGGAGAGGGATAATAAAATGTACGATGTGTCCCAGAAGGGGTGCGCGCACTCCGTCGTTTTGTCGACTTTCGTTCTGGCAAACTTTTTCCCCCAATTTCAGCCATCTCGTTCCATAATTTATCGATTAATACAGCCGTGGACTAACAAACGTCGTGTTTGAAGCTCCACCAGAATAAACACGATCTCGAAGCGCGATTAATTAAAGGAATGGCATATTTATTGTTGGTTCTCCGCATTCGCCTGCATGAAATACGATCGTGTATTTTTGACTGATCGACGGCGGCAACGACCGTGCAACCGAATTGCCGATTCTACGACCGCCTCGGCGATGCACGAAATACGGCCAGCCAATTCGATCCGCTCCTTTGACTGGCTCCGATATTTATTGCACAATTTAACTCGACCCGGAAAACTTATCGGGTAATTACTTACGTCTAGATGGTCCTCCGGGACGACTACCTCGCCGCACATAGTGACGGGACGGCAAGTGTCTATGCAGTGCGTGTGGTGGTCCTTGACGAAGACTTGACTGCTCTCGCATTTTCTGCAAGCACACCGAGAGAAGCACGCTGACAATTACTCACGCAAAAATATGAAAGAATTCAATCGTGAAACACAGCTGCTGCGCCCTTCACGTAGCCAGTCGTGTCTAAAAGAGCCACGGAAATTTACCTTACGAAAATAGAGCTCGAAATTAAATAGTAAAATTATCACGATATTATAGATTCGACATGCGCGCGCGCGCATGACCGTCACGGAATGGCTCGACATTGCGAATTCGCGATGCAAATTAACATACTTTGACCTCCTGCGGGACATTTATTCCGCGCACCTGCGAACGCGGCGGGCTTCGATGTAAATTCCTACGGCAATCGCGCGGATTTTCAACCGCCCCGCGCTCCGGCGAAAGGATTTTTCGTATTGTGTTCCCGCGGATCCGCCTTCATTTCGCCCCGGAAGGAGGAAATAGCTATCAGGAGTTACAAGTGAGAGGTGCGGAATTTTATTTCCCCCTTTTATCGGACACGGCAAGAACTTTCGTGGAATTACCAGCCGTCACTTAGACGAGAGAGCAGCCAAGGAAGTCCGTTGAAATTGCAGATATTAACGAAGGAAAACCGGGGGAAAACGCGCCGGAGCCGGACGCGAACGCACGGGATATTTGCCAAGTTTCGATCGACGTGGCACGAAGAGCAATTTGGAGAAATAATTAGCGACAATATAACGCGACAGCTGGCCACTATACAGACGTGGACTGAACATTCTGCTCCACGTTAACGTTGGCTACCATGTAAGCGTATTATGTATACAGAGTATCTGATGAAATAGTTCGATAAACGCTCGTGTACATGTAGATTAGATCAAACTGAACAAAAAGCTTCTCCTATAGTTTTGCAAACAATCAGGTACTATTTTGAGGTATTATTACACGAAGAAGGAAATTAGTACTCACTTAAAACTAATTTACTCATATATAAGCAACGATACATAATTTTGTCAGAAGAATTTTAAAGTCTTGCACACATTACGAGAATGTTATAACTTTATTTGAATATTATCACGGTCTCATAAGAAGTACAATATGATTATTTTGATAACAATGACATCTTTTTTCAAAATATTCTTAATCTAATATTTTGTGCTTTTTATACGTGATGATTATTTCTGAATAAGAACGCAGGATGTTTTCTTCGTTGGAGATCATATGAAATTTGTACAAGTGATTTATCTTCGTTTAACTCTATATAATCTTATTTGAAGATATTAACATTTTAAAAATAAAGATATTTTCAAAACAAGAATGTTCTTTTTTCAATTAAAGAAAATTGACGGATGATCACGCGCGGTCGTTCGCCAATTTTCTTTAATAACTCAAAATTTTACGTGGTTGTTTGCAAAATGTAGAGGAATTTCGTGCTCAGTTTGACCTAATCTACACGAGCGTTTTCTCATCTATCATCTCCTGTATCTTGTATGTCATAGAAAAGATACTTCTCGACTTGCGGCGTCACACGCTAAAGTTGATCACAAATTTTACACTTTTCTTTTCACACGGAAAAAGATCCCTACGAAGTGCCGCGGCGTCTTTTGCGCGCATTTTTGAGCGGCGTTATCCGCGAGACTACGACGTTGATCCAAGGCGTCCTGATGGAACTAAAATGGCTATTGCCGAACAACGATCTTCCATCGAGGTAGCGCGGTATCGCGCGCGAGTCTGGTATATACTTTTATACAGTAAAAGCGGATACGGCTATATCAGACACGATGGCACTAGCAAGGATAAAGAGGACTCCGGGGAGAGGTGAGTGTTAAGAAGAAGGTGCACTTCGCTAAATAAACGTCGCGACACGAACGTGTTTGACGTATCTGAGAGAACTCCCCTCGCCTCGCCTCGATGTCGCGTCTGAACGACCGTAAAGCGGAATGATATTCGCGCGTTATCCAAGGGTAAGTTTTCGCGGGAGTAAAGATTAGTTTCCCGAGCCGATTAAACGCGGGATAGTCTGGCTTTTATATTAGAATATTATATTAGATTATATTAGAATGTTTAGTTGTAACGAACGTACTATCGTGTTTTTGAAAGAAATGCAATTTCTGGCTTTACAGGACCAAATTTGGGCCATAAGAGCAAAAAGAAAAATGGAAATTTTATTGAATCCTTCAATAAAAACGCGTTAATTCATTCATTAAAACCGAACTTCACACGTTAACACAACCGAATATTTCTTCTTATATTTTTTCTTCGTGTTCTAATTGAAAAACATTGAAGAATGTCTTGACAGAAAACTGACGAACTCCCGAACTTGTCTGAGGAGCAGCGACCGAAGAAGCGGCTTAATTTCGATTCGCATCTGTTTCTGTTGATTCGTTAATTGCATTCTCTTGGAATACATTATATCGAAGTCACGGGAATATTAAATGCTGTATCATAAGTGATACAGCATACAATACATATATTTAAAGCGATAACGCGAGAATTAATTAGATCGGGTATCATGAACAGACTGATTAATTTTCATCGAACAATATGCGGATAACGTCAATGTCCCAATATTATGGGACATTAATCGTTGTAAATTGGATGAAAGGCCGAGGGAATTAATTAATGTCGTATCAACAATGAGAGGAAGAAGAGTGCGTTGTTGTGCCGCTGCTGTAATGCAAACCGTCGTCGCGCCATGTGTCCTTGCGAGGAGAAAAGGAGGAAAAATCGACTGACCGACCGATGCGTCGCATGAATTCGAAAAACTCTAAATGACCGCTAATCCGGGCTCTCCACGGTTCGCGAGGGGTGTATGCCAAGTGTTTAAGTCGCTAATCGGATCACGTTTCGGTTGAGTTGATTTGCATAAGCTAAAGCAGTTTTCCGGTTCCGCCGAGCGAATCCAGGTCCGAATCGTCGGAAACGAACATCTGCTGATTCGAGAGAAAAAGAGTGGAGAGGGAGAGAAGAAGCGAGGGAGGGAGGGAGGGAGGGAGAGAGAAAGAGATTCCGAGGGAAGCGTTCGAGCCGCAGCGAAAATATTTTCCATCGCGCCCCGAAATCTGCTAAGATCAAGACATACGAGTTTTTCCGCAATTCTAGGAATTTATAGTTTCGATCTCGCGTAACGACGAGCCGGAGGAGATCGTGGGCCTCGAGATCGACCAGAGTCGCACAGGTCTGTAGGAGGAAGGAAACGTTGTCCGTAAATAGTACAGCAGTTTCCAGGCAATTTACTGTTCCGTTAAGAGTATCCTCCGGCTGCTCTTCTTGGCTTCCCCAAGAGTTCGGGATTCGCTCGGGGAGAAAGGAGGTGCGACTTAAACCGTTTCTCCGTTGCCGCCGACGCGAGATACGTTCGTGTCAAGATAGAATCTCGCAATTTCGGGGACCTTGCGCGAAAGTCGGCTTCGATATCGGTAGCCGGTTTTTCAAGGAAATTATGTGTATTTCCATTCCCGAGGGTGGCGAGACCGATTCCGAGTGTCCGCCTGCAAGTGTAGTGTGAGCTACTAGATGTTTCACCTAAACCTGTCCCTTGTCCTTTAGTCGAAAAGAAAAGGATTTTCTTCTCCGTAAGGCAGAAGCGCTCGGCATTGACGGCTAGATTTTCGTGAGTAAAAATATATCACAAAATGTTATTCCGATACCGTTACTGATGTTGCCACAAATGTCGATAAACATCATTTGTCCTGTTTTTCGAAAAACAGAAAATAAACAATAATAAACGCGAAGAGAAAACCAGCCGTTGATGAGAGAAATTTATCGATTGACACGTAAAATATGCAAGAGGAACGTGTTGTTCATATGATCATTTTCAGTTGGCAAACAGACAGATTTCGAATAGAAACGAACTTTGAACACTCTCCGTTGAGATATCCGAGACGACGGCCATGTATTTCGGATTAATTGTCCTCATATTTGTGCAGCGTGGAAATTTAATCCAACGTGGAAGCGCGGGCTTGCAGAGTTGTCGCTTAATCCCTCTGGGATGACGATTGATCCCACCAAAATGACGTTCAATCCTATCTAAATGCATACATATGTGCAAACGATGAGCACACGAAATCCTCTCTCTCTTACCCCCTCCCCCTCCTCTCTCTCTGCTATGATAATCAGGAATACGATATATTGGCAAACATAAATACACGCATTATAAATCACTGTATAATCGTATGTCAACGTTAAGGTTCAATATACCTACTGCTCTTAAATATACATATACATGTTACTAAAAATTCGTATTCGGAAACCTCAACAAAATTACATTTCGCATAACATGTGCACAACAGATGAATTATTGCTCGTTCAATTGGTTAAATGTTCCACTAAATTCGACCAAATTGTTTCGCTATAGTATTATATTTCTTTGAGAAATATATTCTAATAAGTAAAAAGCAAAACGCGCCACTAAATATAACGCTGACATTTTTCCCAGAAAATAGAATTTCTCTGCTGGTAAACTCGCTGGAAACTTGATTTGCAAGTAAAAGACAGTCTTTTTTAAATAATCAGAATGCAGGAAAACACAATCATACGTGAACGTAATCGCGCTTTAATACAGTAAAGAGGCAACCGTGCGGACGGGCTGTCCTTAGTCCCCTCGACATCGGTATTTTCAAATTTCAGAAATACTTTCCGACACGACGGCACGAGGACGAGGATGCTGACTTCCAAAGAACTTTATCGTTCAGGTAACTTAAAGGAGTCCCGAGCACTTTGAAAGCACCACTCCGCCGCACTTACCAGGGACACGTAATGCCCGGAGTACGGATTTGTTGCAGTGACACGCTTTCTGCATTACCAAGAGCTCGTTGGCTGACGGCACCGACCCAACATCCTTCGGCTCCTCCAAAGTCGTCTAACAGCTGGCAGAAACCGCACGATTCACAGTTATCATGCGGTCGGGCGAAAAAACCGATTAGGAATTAACGCGTCGGACCGGGCGCAACGAGACAAGTGCTTGTATCGCGATTGGATTCGGACATGTGCTCTGTCTGTGTCTGCACGCTGTCCCGATACACGTCCAATTCTGTCACCTATTTTAATTATCTACATCC